CAGGCAAGGCAAGTGGAGTGAGATTATTTTTGTTGAAACACCTTTTGGCAATTCCTCCCCTTTCTGCCTTTAGGTTCTTGTCTAATACTGTGTTAGAAGCAGACACAGCCACACCCCGTTTAACCTTTGTGCTGTGTTTTCTGGGAATTACTAGAAGCTTCCAGAAAGACTTTTTACTTTGATAGCCCAAATTTATTTCTCTGGCAGCCTCCCAGCAATTAGTCCTGGATGAATTATTCAGAAAGGGTAGATGAAGCTGCAGTGAGTCACTCGAGTCGTGTGTGGGTACCTTGAGCTCTGGCATGCTGCTGATGAGCTCGTAGGGGAGTGTCACGGCTGGTTTGGCAGAGTAGTCAAGGGGAACGAGCTGCGGGGCCAGGTCTCGGTACCTGTGAAACAGCCTGAGACAGACAGAAAGCCTTGTTGGTTCTTGAGACTTCAGACAACAAGCTGGTTTGCTTTTCCACCTCATTTTTCACACTTTGTGTCCATTACCAGACGGAGATCAGACACTAAGTAACTGTATGTTTTTGTTGGAACAACCGTTATTAAAACAAGCGACATAGTGGAACTTGTGAAAAAATACAAAGCTTCATTACAGAACTGAAATGCTTACACAGGACATGCAGCCAAACGTTTAGGAGAGGAGAACAAGTTCATGTTTTCAGTGAAGACTCTCAGTCCCACCTGATCCTGCCTTTATCAGATCCTTTGGCCAGAGATTAAATAGGGAGTTCAATGAGAAAAATGCATCTTGGAGCATTTTAATCATTTACAAGAAAACATGAAGAAAACTTGGCACAATCAGCAAAGTATTCCAGAGGATAACAGTACACTTTGAAGCATCTGTCTGAAAACCCTGTGAGAGAACTGTGGATGTCACTGCCACTAAGACATAGCTCATTACATTTATTTCAAATAAATAAAGAGAGACTAGTACATTAAAATAAAATTTAGAATTCTGACTCAGTTTATGAAAATGAAAAAAGCCACAAAAAAATGGTCAGATGGCCCCAAAGTATCACTTTCAATTTTAGTAAATCCATTTAAAAATTATCTTAAAAATACATTACCCCATCTGTAACCCGCCTTTATAGCAAGCTCTGCCCTTTATCCACAACATGCATACAGAAGACTGACCTCAGAATTTCTTTCCTTGTGAAAAATGTGCAGTCCTATGAAATAAGAAAAAGTACAACACAAAATGACAGTTTTTAGCATGCATTGGCCCAAAATTTTCCCATGCAGTGACTTAAATGAAGTTATACTATAGTTTATGTGTAAGCCTTAAAGATTTCTTTTTGGCATACAATTAGGCATACCTTATAACCCTTCCTTTTGCTGTAAAAACCAAACTATGTTCCTAAAATCTTTGCTGCAATTCAGTACGTCTGCTTACTAATTTTTAAAATGTGTTGTTTTAAAAAACCCAGCAATACCTTTGCCATTTTTCAATGCCCTGCCCAAACAGCCATTTAGTTTTCTTTATACCTGATATGCATCCAGTTGCTCTTGAGTGAAAATGGTTTGCTTGTTGCCCATTTTGAGCTGGAAATACTGACTCTTGTCAGTTCTTTCCTCAAAGGCACCTTTAAAGGTCGTCTGGATATTCAGTTATTAAAAGCTGCAACAATGAGGCTCAGGTACAGCAGAGGATCAGGTAACCAACTTGTACAGGCTGCAAAGTATCATAATAGGAGCATTTCATCAAATCTTTAGTCTGGCTGCTTGAGGCTCTTATCCAGCAGCATTCACCCGTCTCCTGTGTGCACCACGAAGACTCGGGTTACAGGATTTAGCCAAATAAGTAATAGCTGCTCATTAGTGCCCTTTAGCTGCAGGTACACCCAGTGGACCCTGCTTTTTCATGCCTTCAGATATGGGGAATTAACTGAAAAGTGTTAGTAGTGTTTTCCTTCTATAAAATTTAACATCAAATGATGGAAATTTGGTAGCCTCTCCTTTCCTTCTCGCGTTTTATTGGGTCAGAATTATAATGGTTGGAAAAGCCCTTTTAGATCATTAATGCAGCACTGCCAAAGTCACCACTATACCATGTCCCCAAGTGCCACATCCACATGTTTTTTGAACACTTCCAGAGATGGTGACTTCACCACTGTCCTAGGCAGCCTGTGCCAGTATTTTCCTTTAATGCACACTGTTAAAAACATCCACATTTTGCAAGTCCTGCTTCGGTTCCCCTCACGGAGATAACTCGGGACTTGGCTCACCAGCGGATCCCCTCACGGAGGGGCCGGGCGGGGCTCGATCCCGGTTCCCCTCATGCAGGGGCCGATCCGCTTCACGGAGATGCAAGGCGGTTCATGGCAGCCCCTGTTCCTCTCACGGAGGGGCCGGTTCCCCTCACGGAGGTGCAAGGCGGCTCACGGCAGCCCC